TCATCTCAACTCTACCTCTATCATAAATATATTAATTGTTAACGCCCGACCGTCAATTTCTTACGAGCATATTAGCACAACGGACTTAATCGGGGTTTCATAAATTCATACTTGAAATTAATAAAAGGTACAAAATGATGTAGAACTCTATTTGCATTTCTCCATTTTAATTATCATATTCTGATTCTATTGTTAAGATCTTCTTTAATGGCCCTTCCTTTTTTACAATAGAGCTTAGGTACCGAAAATTATCATCATGAGCACCTCTCCATAATAGAATCCAATACACGCTCTTCTGATTCCTCAAGTTGCCAAAATTAATTTGATATCCCAATAAAAACTACCAAGAGGGCATTGGCCCTCGAATACAAAAAAAACCCAAGTCGTTAGGCTCTCTAGAATATATTAATTTTTATTTAGGATATATTAATTTTAATATTTCCAAGTAAGAATAAATTTGATCGCCATATCCCATCCAATTATATTCTTTCACTTTTTGAGTCAATTTTTAACAACTAGCTTTCATGATAGACGTAAACTTTTACAAGATGTTTGCTTGTATTAAACTTGACAACTATAAGAATTAAATAGGTTTTGGTCCGATGGATCGGTTTTCGGTTTTGAAGATATAATAGCGAGTTTATAAGAAGGAGTAGCAAAATGAAGTGACAAGCCACATGGAGGAAGATGTACAAACAAATAAATCAGATAATATTACATAAGAAATTAGATCTAAAAGATGAAGACATATAAAAATCTTACAAATTAGATAATATTATGAGAAAGCACGAGTAAATCTAATTGTTCTTTTGCGAGGCTTTGTTTACTCGACGATGGCATTAGCTTTGTTACAGCAGCGTTGGGTGGTGAAGACATCATTAGGTCAACTTTAGGTAGCAATAGAACATATGAGTTTGAGTGAGAACTAGGATGGACGAGTAATGGAGCTCAGAGAAAATGTTTTCTCATTTTTTTTATCAAGGAAGTCATTTTTCTAAAACTTGGCTTTTAATTTTCCTTGATTGGAAAATAGATTTCTTTGACTTTTTTCATAGATGGCTAAACAAACATGAAAAAATAGGAAAAACAAGTTCCGGGAACTTGTTTTTCCCCGAAACAAATGTACCCTTAGGTTATTCTATGTGACTAATTGTTAGTTTAATCTTAATTAATAAATACTCATAGTTAGGGTGATTGATATTTGTTAAATTGATGATTATATATTATCATGGTAATAAGTAAGTAGTTAATTAATGATTAACCATGGTATTGATGTTGGGTAAGTGATTGATTATTGATTGAATAATTGAGATGATGAATTTAGCTTGGGAAATGGTTGTTGCACTTAGTATTAGAAAGTAGAAACTGATTATGAGAATGCTTGATAGATTCGACTTAACTATGGATGGACGTTAGTGTATTGCTTAATGGATTTAGGTTGTTTAGTTTGGTTAGTTATACAATTGGATGGTTGTGTTGATGCGGAATGACTTGGCTTATTGATTTCTTACATAAAGATTGGATACTTGTGATAATACTTAAAGGGTTGAGTTTAGGTGTTTAACTTTGTGTTGCTTGGTTTTGTGTTCATGTGATAGTTTCAGCTTAGATGGTTGCTTGGTATTACTTGGCATGTTGAATGAGTGTTTGAGGAATCATTATTTTAATTTGGGTTTGGTTTGGAAAATTGAATGATGATGGAGATAAGGTATTCGGCTAGGGTTCATTGGTGTCGAATTTAGCTAGGCTTGTTGGTCGAGTAATTATAATATTTCTTGATGAGTTTAGGTAGGGATTTTTTTAGGAATTTATTGGATAATTAAATGGTTATATGTAAATAGATATATTGAACACTTGAGAAAATGGTTGTTATGTCATGGTTGGCTTGTTGATTGAGTGATTGTTCTAATGTTTGATGGGTTAGGCTAGGGTTAGACTATAAGGTTTTGCATGCATGTGTATGTAGGGTGATGGTCACTTAAGTGTTAATGGATGATTTTGGTTAGGTTACTACTTGAGGTCACTCAATCATATGTTTAAGTGTTTATTGGATAATTGATGGGTTTAGCTCAATGTGTACTTGATGTTGTTCGGATATACTTGCTTGTTACTTGATTTGATTTGGAAAATTGAATGATAATGATGATGATGAATGATTTGACTATAAGAGGTTTTTGCTTAAGGTTAATTAAATTATGATGATTAAATTATTAATTAGTGGTGTTAATGTAAAATGGCTCGGTTGCTTGTGATTGCTTAGATTGTGTTCAATGCTTGGTTTAGGTATGATGTTATTCTACCATGTGTTGCTTTTGGAAAATTTTCATGGATGACTTGATGTTATTAGGGTGTGTACATGTTATTTTAAAGCTTGATACTTCGACCTAGTTATGTCATGTTAATTGTGTTCATGAATGACTTAATACTATATGGTTTATGTTCATGTATATGCTTGATAAGCATTCTAGTTGCATTCATGTCATGAAAATATTTAGGCATGGTTTCAAGAATTCAAAGAAAAGTTATGTTTCATATTTTTTAAGATAAGCTTGTAAAGAAAATAATTCGAGTGTATATTCTTTGTAAGGCATACAAAAAGAATGATCGAGTGAATACTTTTTGTATGTTAAAAGGAGGCATACTAAGGGAATGATCTAGTGACTACTCTTAGTATGTAAAGGGAATAACTCGGTATATATCCTTAATATGATGGCTTATAAAGAGAATGATGTGGTGTATACTCTTTATAAGGATGATAGAAAATGTATTTCGAATTATGAATAATGAATTTATTTGCATTCATGCATGGTTACATTTATCGAGTTCTAGCTCACTTGTTTGTTTTGTGATGTAGGTGAATAAAGCAATGATTGAGGACATGTAGGTTTGTTGAGGATGTTGGTCATGAGCTATAGAATTTACAAAATTGTGTAATATAGGTCTAAGTTTAAAGTTTGAAAGCCAAACCATTTTAGGTTTCAACTATTTTTAGTGAATGTCTAAATTGGATCATTTTGGATTGTAAATGATAATTTTTTTCGATATGTGTGTGTGTGTGTGTGCGTGCGTGCGTGCGTGCGTGTGTGGTGTGTGTGTGTGTGTGTTAAAGGTAAATGAAATGTTTATGGATGAATTGAGGTTTGTTAATAGATTAAGCTTGAATTATGTGCTTTTTAGTTTTAATCCAATTATGAAAATGAAATGATATAGGATGTTTAAAAATGGTTTAAGTTGCGAAAAATTTGTTAGTCTTAAATGTCAAATTTAAGAAGTTTTGAACTTTAAACCAAATAAGGAATTTTCTTTGTGAAATGCGATAGAGATCTAAGATAGAGGACACGATGTATTACCTTGCACTTTCGAGTGTAAGACAGTGCGAGTAGTACTCTCGGCTTCCTATTGGGCCACGAGCATTACATGTACACTACTCTGTTATAAGGCAAGATCCGGAAACTAGAAATATCATGCTGCTTTCTTTCTTTCTTTTTTTTTTTTTTATGTGGATGAATTTTAATCATAAAAAACATGATTATTTAGTTTTACTAATGACTTTGCTATTGTTCGTTGTTTGAGTTATGTGGACCCTTTTTTTGTTTCCTATGTTTTCTTTGTCATTCATCCAAAACATGAACAATGATTGCCTAAAGTAAATTTTTTTGCTATCGTAGATGCGATGGTTCTTCAAACATAGGTCAATGATGTCGTGTTGTGTAACATCAACACTACAATAAGTTTTCACTATTGTAGAAGTGGAGATTCTTTCAAAAGTGGATTAGAAAACTAGTTTTCATATCAACAATATTGCTACAAAGAACTGTTGGAGCGAGAGACAAATAATCATTATATATGAAAGTACGTGACATGTGATGACTTCGAATATGGGTTATTAAGGAAGGTCAAAGTATATGACCATAATAATTCCATGTAGGTTACACACAATTGAGTTCGGATTCTATTTAAAAGACTAAAATTTTATGATAGATGACTTATTCTCACCATTAAAATGTTTTGGTTTCTTATATAAATTTTTTTAATATGATAATTTTTCTAACAAAATGAGTATTCTTTTTTGTCATATTAAAAAGATAATAATAATAACAAGTTAATAATTATCTGCGATGCAATTTTAAAATTTAAGAAATTTTTTTCATAACATAAGAATAAAAAGGACATTTTAGGATTTTGTAATTATTTTTATGTATAAGGAAAAATAGATGCATTTTTTTATTTCAAAAATTTATTATGAAAATTTATTTCAAATCTAAACCAAAAAATAAAAAAAGAAATTTTTTTCAATACATAAGAATAAAAGCAAAAAGTAGATAAAAAGAAAGACATTTTAGGATTTTTAATTTTGTTTTTTAGAAATTGAGAGAAAGAAAAAAAATTGAAAGATGAAATTAATTATTTGTTTCTATACTTAAAGGTGGAGAAACAAAAAGGCATTTTAGAATTTTTTTTTTATTTTTCAAGAAAAAGTATCACATGTCAGGATCATGTGAGTCTATCGTAAAAAAAATTAGTGGGAGGAATGAATTAAGACACAAATTAAGAGTAGAAAAACATGATTATTAAAAAAAATTAATAAAAAATGCAATTAAAACAAATAAAATAACATAAAAAACCTAAACTTTCATTAATTATATAAAAAATAGACGGAAATGGTGTCCCAGTAGCGCTCCGCAACGTAGAAAAACATCAGCGCGTACAGAGAAATACCGGAACCGTAATTGACAGCGATGAAAAAAGGGCCGGCAAGTTAAAATGCATAAGTGTCTCCACACTCCATCGAACATGCCTCCTCTATTTCTCTCTCGCGCTATTGGATTCCTCACAGCTCAAAAGAAAAACAAGAAGAAAAGAAAAAAAATCCCTCCAAATCTGCTACTTTTCGGAATCCAAACATACTCTCACGAATTAAATACTCGCTTTATTCTCTATAGAAAGTACTGTCAGATCTGGATCAGAACAAGCAGAGCACGCCGGAGTCGCTTGCTGCGATGGCGGAGTCACGGCGACGGAGCTCGTCTTCTTCTTCGTCTTTGTTGAGTTCCGGCAAAATTTCGGTGAGAATCGAAGGGGAAATCGGCGTTGATGTTGGAACTAGCGGCGATGGTAATGAATTGGAGAGCAGAGAGGCAGTTGATGTTGCTTCAGTTAGTAACGGTAACTTTTCAGATTGTTGAATTGAATTCGGTTTATTTTGGCCGTCAAAAACAGAATTCTGTGGTCCATTTCTAATTGGTAGATTCTATTAACATTGTTGAGCATAGGGATGAGGAATGTAAATTGACAGTTTGTTTTTTTTTTTTTGTGTTTGCTTCAAATTCTTGGTTTTATGGACTTATAGATTTCTTTGTTTAGGAATCAGCAGCGGGACTGAATTGGAATCAAACACTTCAAGGGTTCAAATGCCTGGTGCTAACAAATCAGAACCAATACCGATTCAGCTTAAGTTAGAAACATGCAAAACTGAGGGGCAAAGACATCAAAATATACTTGCTGATGAGGCTGCAAAATTTTTCGATGACAAGATTCCTGTTCAGCTGAAGGTATTAATCTTTAGCTATTATTCTTTTCTGGTTTCGTTCCCTTTTTCGGTTAAGGTCTTCAATTTCCCAATTATGATGACTATTTACTACCAGTAGTATATTTAGGAAGCTTTGGGCACCGGATTTAAACTTTACCTGTTACTGTTGCTAGAAGTGAATACAACTTTAGTTAACTTTGTTTCTTATGAGTTAAATTTTGATGAATTGTGCCAGTTGATTAGGTTTTTTATTTTCTGAAATTGTGGCGCTTTTAAGTTGTTGAAGATGGTAGAACCATGCTTAGTGTTTTTATTTTATTTTTGATTTTTAAATATGCAGCTTAAATTGTTGAACAGAATAGCTACTGTCAAAGATGATGGAACTGTAGAGTTTGAGGTTCCAGGGGATGTCGAAGCCCAAACTCTTGGTGTTGGATCTGATGATGTATATAATACTGTTGTGGATGATGAGCCTCTTGATGCAACAGACCTTCAATATATACCACCACTGCAAATAGTAATGCTTATCGTTGGCACTCGAGGAGATGTGCAGCCATTTATTGCAATTGGTAAACGTCTACAGGTTGGTTGGCGATGCCTATTTTCAGCTTTTCAATTGAGCTCTATTCATGAACAGTTGTTTGTACTTTTGATCTTCAATTTTAATAATGTGTTATGTGTTAGTTAATTATTCCACGTCAGCTTTAAATAAATTATGAAGCATGGAATAATTTAGCCATTGATCACTTTGTAGCTGCATTTGATCATTCCCCATCTTTTCTGGCTTACCTCTCTAATGATTTTATTTATTTACAAGGCTGATTGGGTGCTTTCTTAAGTATTGGTCTGAAAAAGCTTGCTTCTTGCTTTTTTATGTAAATAAAGAAAATCTAAAGTAACATTTTCTTTGCTAACGCTGTGATTTCTTATGATGAAAGAGTTAGTAAATATAAGGTTGGATTGTTATTGTATTTTTAAGACTTAATCATTTGCAAATATCGGTTCATTTACAAGGACGTTTTGTGCAGGATTATGGCCATCGTGTTAGACTAGCAACTCATTCAAATTTCAAAGAATTTGTCTTGACAGCTGGGTTGGATTTTTTTCCTTTAGGCGGAGATCCTAAAGTTCTTGCTGGTTGTATGTATCTAGAAAGGCCACTTTTAACTCATTGGGTCCTTATTTTGTTCCTTAATCTTTATGCCTTAGCCTTTTGAAATGGTTCCATATCTTTTATGTCATTGAAAGAATTCTTGGAAATGGTTTACATTATTCTTGCTGCAGCCTTGAATGGTTTTTTTGGTGCAAATATGCATTGATTCATTCTAACAAAGCAAAGTTTGTGTAATCCTTTGCCAAATTTCTAGAATTCTACATGTGGATTACTCAGCATGGACAAAAGTTTAAGTTATACTAAAACAATAGTAGCAACACAAGTATGACTGGCAACAGATAATGCTGCTGTTGCTTTTGTATTTGTTTCTGTATGTGTGACAAAAAGTTTAAGTTATACTAAAACAATAGGAGTAACCCAAGTATGACTGGCAACAGATAATGCATACTGTTGTTTTTGTATTTGTTTCTGCATGTGTAACAAAAGAGTGTGCATAAACAATTTTTTTTTTTTCCCAAAAGTTTGACTGGAGAATCTTGGAGTTTTATCTGAAATATTTAATGTTTTTACAAGACAGCTTTCTAGCTGCAGTAAGTTGCTTTGAGTACAAGTTTCGGTTGCAAATATCTTCAAATATATTTGAGACTAATTCTCCAAAATATTACTTCGTTGATATGCGAGTCTGATTTACTAGATTTTATGCTTTACTGCATATTTTCAGATTCAGATTCTAAGTTCCTTCAATAACTTTCACTGTTTGTTTTGGCTTTAATGAGCAGACATGGTAAAAAATAAAGGCTTCTTGCCAGCAGTGCCGTCTGAGATACCCATTCAACGAAATCAAATGAAAGAAATTATACACTCCTTGCTTTCTGCCTGCAGGGATGCCGATATTGATTCAGGCATCCCTTTTAAGGCTGATGCCATCATTGCCAATCCTCCAGCGTATGGTAAGACTTCTTACCTTTGAATCTCTCACAATGTGTTGTGCTCCAGTTGAAATCTGCTGTAATGTTCATGCATTACCTTTTTCTTATTCCTCTGAGTTTCCAACGCCTGTAATTTTTCCTGACAATAATCAACTGTTCGATATAAACCCTAGATGTGCTTGTTCGTCTATTAAATGGGATCATGATTTCTAAATGGTGCTGTCACTGTACCTTAGGATAAATTTCTTCCCTTCTCCTTCCTTTGTTTATTCAACCTCAAATTTGTCCATTCTTTAACCATTTCAAACTGTAACTGCCAATATAATTCCCTTGCCTTTTCCATCAATTTAAACCATTCAAGAGTTCTTAAACGCCGAACTAGATTGCTGCCATTCTAATTTGTAGTTTGCAAGTGCCCCAGGAAACTAAAACTTTCAATCCTAGTTTACAAGATGCCCAGACCTTCAATAACTTTAAACCCAATGTTTTCAACTTTAAAAATCCTAGCCTACCACAAAACTACTTGGAGGGTGACTTTTTAGCTTTTATTGTGTTTCTTCCTGTATAATTCTATGCAACATCTCCAATGACTGTCTCACCAAGTAGATTTTTCCAATGTATCTCAGTCATCTTCCTTGTAGATGTTTGAAAAGGTGCTTCTATGATAATTTGGGTTCCTTTGTTAATGATTTTAAAAGCGCTATTCTATGGTAGTGATTTTTGGTTTCATATCTGGCATCGAAGTTGTTATGCCTAAAACTGCTTTCCTAATATATGAAGATCAAGGTATTATGCATTATTTGTTAACTCCCTCATTTGGTTTTTTTCTCCCTTTTATTTCCAAGTGGGGTTGAGGAATTGGATTTTTTTGTTTGTTTGTGAAATGATTCTTATATTTCTCTCCATTCGCTTAATTTTTTTTTAACAGAAAGGGGCATTATTTGTTAGCTCCCTCATTTGGTTTTTTTCTCCCTTTCATTTCCAAGTGGGGCTGAGGAATGGGATTTTTTTTGTTTGGTTGTGAAATGATTCTTATATTTCTCTCCATTCGCTCAATTTTTTTTTTTACAGACAGGGGAATCCTCTAGCTCTTGTTCCTCTTCCAGTAATTTTTTTTTATAAATTCCTTGGATGTGCATCTTCTCCCTCAATTTTCTTCAAGTTGTAGCCATTATATTACTGTTCTTTGCCGTTTTGTATCATTTTGTCTTCCCCTGCTATTTTTCTCTCTCTTGTGTGTTTTTGCTCTCACTGAATTATGCAGACTGTGCCACGTGTACTTTTCTTCTTCTATAAGCACGTTTCTGTTTAGTTCTTACATAGAGATGTTCAACCTGTATTTATATTTTTGTGTTCAATATTCTACAGCTTACCCTTCTAATGTTTTCTTTAGGGCATACTCATGTGGCAGAGGCACTAAAAGTTCCGCTTCATATATTTTTCACCATGCCATGGACGTAAGTCTTCCCTGGGCAATGGAATCTTGCTGAGTAGAATGTAGCTTGAACATTGTTACTGTTTGACAGATTTTTTGTTTTCTTCCTGTTTTTGTCAGTGTTGACTTACATACATCATTTAATTGGTAAGTCCTAAACTGTTTTAAGCAATTTTTGTCTTTTCTTTCCAGGCCAACTAGTGAATTTCCACATCCCTTGTCCCATGTCAAGCAACCAGCTAGATATCGAGTGAGCCCATTGGATTTTTTTTTCTCTTTTGGTTTTCCTTGTAGCTTCGATTTCCCTAAAATATCTTGATTGTTTCTGACTTGTTTTTTTCCACGTGCAATTTCTGTAGCTCTCATATCAAATAGTTGATTCATTGATTTGGCTTGGAATATGGGATATGATAAATGATGTTAGGAAAAAAAGTTGAACCTACAACCTGTCACGTATCTTAGTGGTTCACAGGGATCCGATTCTGATGTGCCACATGGATACATATGGAGTCCCCACCTTGTCCCTAAACCAAAAGGTACTGCATACTGTGAGATGTCGAACTTTTGTATTATAATTTATCTGCTTGTGCTAATCTTCTGTCATGCTAAGCAGTTATAGCTAACGTTTGTAACGTTATCCTCCATACTGGGTGCTTGTCTTGTTGCAGGACAACTCTAGGGGAATGTTCGTAGCTGGCTGTTCATTAGGTTAGGTTGTAGAATATGAAGTTTTAGGGCTTTACAAATTGAAAAACAGAACAGAAAGTAAAAAAATTGTTGAAAAACAGAAATATATTTCTACCTTCACACTAAAAGGTTCAGAACTCACTCCTAGATTGAAAGCCTCGCACTCTTGCGTAATCTAGCAAAAGCTGCAATTATTCAATAGAATCTTTTTTTTTTTTTTTGGCTAGAAATCAATATACCACAAGCATATTTATAATGCTTGGATGATTCCTAAGTCATAATCCTAGTTGGAGTTGGATTCCTATCGGAAAAAACATAAGGATTCATATATAAGAAACGTAAACTAGTCAAGTTAGTTAAAGACTAAATAAAGCCTCTAAATAGCAAAATTAAATAATAGGCTCCTACCAAAATTCCAGCAATTCTATAAATTACAGAATTGCCCCTGACCTCATAACTCTGGTGCAGCTCTGCTGGGACTAAGCAGCATTTAAACCGTAAACCAAATCCGACAAGGAGTCTTCCTGTCCTTTATCCCAACAAATTATGGCTTGTGGTTTGAATGTCTTTCTCTTATCCCTATTGTAGGCTTTAACCTGTTTTCTACCATGTCTACCTGTCTGTCTTTATGAATATTACACAACCTGGGTTGTAGTTTGAGACAAAAGAATGACTTTCAATAGAAGGATGCTAATTTCTAGTTTGCATTTTCTTTTTCTTCGTTTGCAGATTGGGGGCCTAAAATTGATGTAGTTGGTTTCTGTTTTCTCGACCTAGCATCAAATTATGAACCTCCTGAATCACTTTTGAAATGGCTTGAGGCTGGTCAGAAACCTATTTATATTGGATTTGGTAGCCTTGTGAGTTCACTTCCTAGTTCTTTCTTTGATTGTTTTTGTTGTTTAAAGGAAATGCAAGGTCTGCAATCTATTGAAACTCACTCTAGAATTTTAAGTGTATCTTCTGACATGGGCATCATGGAATCTCCAACATGATCGTTGTGTTTTCCTTTTATGTTGTTCTGACACTGTTATGGTAGAGATTCTTGAACATAAAAGAGTACTTATTTGTTTGCTGGCTGATATGATACTTATTCATTTGTATTTGGTTTGTTTGAAGTGAATTATGCTTGAAGTTTAACCAACTGCAGTTCAATAAAGAATCACCACGGAGAAACCTTTTCGTGATCAGATAGTGCCATTTGATGTAATCTGTTGGGTGTCTCATGCGATGGAAGTCCATATTGTTGTCATAGGACTTGAAATCTGTTGTTACCTCCCAAGGACTACAATAAATGATCTTATATGTAATTATTTGTTAGCTTGCTGAGGTCTCCACTGTGTGTGGATTAGTGTGTGACTTGAGATGTAAATCATAATTGCGATTTTGGTCCGCATCAAAGTGTCAGTGCCCAGTATTTGAGTGTTGAATAGACACCAAGAAGGTTGAATCTGTAACAGTATTACACTAGTTGCTATCATACATGCCTTTTTTTCTTTTCTTTTTTCTCCATATTCTTAATTTATTCTCTTAGTTCTCTCTCTTTGTTTTTTAGATGTTTTGTCCTTACATTCTCATTCATATGGCAGCCTGTCCAAGAACCAGAAAAAATGACCCAAGTAATTGTTGGAGCATTGGAACAAACTGGGCAGAGGGGCATCATTAATAAAGGCTGGGGTGGCCTGGGTAACTGTAAGTTTCTGGTTCCCCTTTGGATTTTTATATTTTTACTACCAACTCTTGCTGTTTCCTTTCCCTCTTGTATTGTCTGTGTGCACAGTATATGCATCTTTAGGGTTTTGTATGCTCTCTATTTAGCTTAATTTTGGTTCCTCTCAGTGGCAGAACCGAAGGACTTTATATACTTGCTGGATAACTGCCCACATGATTGGCTATTCTTGCAATGCAAGGCAGTGGTAAGCCTTACTTTTTATAGTTTTTTCATTTGGATACAGTGCTTGAGAAACAAGTGTCACTTGATCAAAATCCTTAAAATGTGAAAGATTTGGAAGTTTTAAGGTTCGACTAATTGACGATGACATTGATTATTATTTATTCTTCAATTTTTTGTGTCTTCTTTACAATCTTTCTGTCCCGTTGTTATTAGTTTGCACTTTGCTGTCAGGTTCATCATGGAGGTGCTGGAACAACAGCTGCTGGTCTTAAAGCTGCGGTAATAGCTGGTGCTTGTTTGTGCTATAGATTTCTGTGTCATGTCCTTTCTCTCTCTCTCTTCCCCCACCCCCCCCCCCCCCCCTCCTTATCCTGCTGCTTTTTTGATGTAGTGCCCTACAACTATTGTGCCTTTCTTTGGTGACCAAGCTTTCTGGGGTGAGCGGGTGCATGTGAGAGGAGTAGGTCCTCCACCCATACCTGTTGATGAGTTCTCACTTACAAAGTTGGTTGATGCAATAAATTTCATGCTAGAACCCAAGGTAATGTCAACTCACCGGATATATATATTAGCTGAGGACAACAAAGAAAAGAAAAGGTCAAAATCTTCAATCCACATGCACAGTCTACTCTTTTCCTTCCTGGTCAAGCAGAATTTATAATCTTGCGAAAAGTTTGATAAATGTTAGTCTCAGGTTCATTTTGGCATAACTGCTAGCGCAGACCTCTCTTATATTTATTTACTCATCCAAGGAAATTCTCTTGCTAGGCTCAAGTTCACTTCATCCTATATGAAGGGCATTAACTTGGACGATCTACTAGGAGTCAGCTAGACTATATAGGAGTATTCTTTTAGATCCTCTGACCTGGAATTAAAACTCAGCAGTTCATTGTTATAAATTATTAAAAACATATACCAGCAGTGAAATTTCTAGTTTTGGCCAAAAGGTACAGTTTATGGCAACTGACATCAAGGAGCAAGATTCAATATTTACTTATTAGGAGAGAGAACCAGTGAGTTTAGCAACATTTATAGTTCTTTTGAGGTTAAAAGCAAACAGTAATCTTTTCAAAAAATGTTGAACTTGCCTCCACGTTGATTCCAGTCACGTGAAAGTAGAATCACTATCATTTGGAACTAAAAGAAACTACTATATATTTGCAACAGATTCTTAGACGGGAATTTAACTGATGAACCTAACATGTTAGGTCAAGGAGCGGGCGGTGGAGCTTGCCAAGGCCATGGAGAATGAGGATGGTGTTACTGGAGCAGTGAGAGCATTTTTCAAGCATCTCCCTCGAAGAAAGCCTGAGCCTGAGCCTGAGCCTGAGCCGTCACCGAACCATCAAGTTTCCTTTAGTAAATGTTTTGGTTGTGCCTGAATCTCAGCTGGACCCATTTGTTCTGTGTGGTGGTGTACTCATCAAGCTGTGTAGCATATGATAAGATTCCTCGTTAGCGGTGTTTCTATGGAGTACTAACCGAGATACTTACCTGTTCTATGAACTGTCATGTAGGAATCTCGACCATACTTCATAAATTGTAATTATCCCCATTTATTGGGGTCAGTAGGTACATACTCGGTGCAACAGTCGAGCCATAGTTTTGGTTTCCCAGAGTTTGTTTGTGTATAGCTCAACAGATTTCAATTTCTTTTGGTTCATCCGAAGGTTTATGGGTTTGATGGGTCTTGATTAAGGGGTCTGTTCTCTTTACATCATTCGGTCTTCGGAGTATAAACCTGCACAAGTGGAGTGTGAATTTGAGGTTTATGTTTGTGGCATTGTTCTTTTGTGTAAAAAATCAAAAACTAGATATCTTGGATTGTTATTGCAGTCCTTCTCTAACAACGTAGTCTTGCGTAATAAGACTCGTAAGTAATGGAGATGGAATGGATCCCATGTTGCAGTAAATCTGGCCTTGTTCCAATGATAATGTAGTGAAACTCTTATGATTTTTTTTTTTTTAATGATCTTAATTGAAGTTCTTAATGGTTGCCACGTGTGCGGAGCCCATGACCCGGAAGCAAGAATTAGGTTCTCTCTGGCTGGGGGTATGACAGAGGGTTCAGTGCATGCCACGAGTGGATGAAAAGGTAACAAATTGCATGGAATTGGCGGTGGAAAATGCAGGACTAGTGGCTGTTAGCCCCATAACTATTTATAGAAAGCAGAAGAATGCAGCAGAAAAAACAGCCATTTGCATGGACAGAGGGAGAGAGAGAGAGAGAGAGACCGAGGTGAATATTTAACACAACCAACTACTGCGTTCAAACCAAGTGGGGACTGATTTTAGCTTTTAAGTCACTCAATCCTTCCACATTGGCCATTGAAGATCACAAACCTGATCGTATAAGCTGGCTTCTCTGACAAATCTAACTTTCCTCTTCATTCATCTCTTTCTCCAAAACTAATTAAGCTACCTATCTTGGTCACCTCAAATTTTTGACCAAGAAAGCATCTCTCTTTATTGAATGCTCCTTATTGGAGAGTGTAGCTCTTGCTTGATTGGGAGAACTGTGCATTGAAACCCGTAGGGAACCTGATTAATCCAAAGATAAGCCAGAGGATTATGTACTTACTGCCCTTCACTTATGACAAGAAACTTAAAAGTGGACGAACGAAACAAACACTTAAAGGCCTGCAAAGATGAAATCCATTTGCCCATGAAACTGATTACTGTCAGAAAGAGAGAGAGGTTCCACTTCCCAATCCAAGCATTACTTTCCGCCAATAACTCTCTTCACCTTAGCAAAGCAGAAACTTCCCCACCTCTCTCTCTCTCTCTTATCTCTTCTGTTCCCAAGCCCATACAGCACCTTGTGTCAAGCACCTTTATTTAATAATGTTACGCAGATTCTCTTCACAGTTTCCAACCCTTGAGAACTTAGCTTCTGAACTCTCTTTTCTACTACTCTTCTTTTATCAGATCAAACTGTATATCAAACACCAAGTCAGCACATTCAGTTTCTTTTACTTCTCGGCCATTCTCTTCAAGGATTTTATCTCCTAATCTCTTTCAAGGTATTAACCTGTGGTCTCTGAACGTTTTTTAGTTTTTTTAATCAACAAATTTAACAAAAAGAAAGGTTTCTCTTTCGTTTTAGTTTCACTACAGTCCATTTTGTGACTTTATTTTCATGATGAAAGCTAACCTCTAATATATAATTTTTTTTTTCTAGTAACAGACATGGAACCAGAAGAAAAGGTTTCTCCAATCAATGCAGAAGTCGAGGACACAACAGCACGAGTATTTCCTTGTTTATTCTGTTCAAGAAAGTTCTACAGTTCTCAAGCCTTAGGAGGCCACCAAAATGCTCACAAGAAGGAGAGACATGCAGCAAGGAAGGCAAAAAGAGCATCTGAATATGCACAGCCTCCACCACCAACATTCCCAATGATGTTTGCTCCAAGTCACCATTTAGGGCTGTTACACCCTTCAATGTACATAACTGCTCACGCAGCCAACCTCCACTCTCCTCCTACTCACCAGTTTTCTGATCGTTTGGGTTCCAATGGTGCAGCCAGGTTTGATAATGTGCTGTTTTATGGAAGCAATAGGTATCATCAATATGATCAAGAAGACGAGCAAAGTTTCTTGAATTGGCAAAGGAGCATAAGATTCAACGGAGGTGGGTCCAACCAACATCTTTCAATGGTGAATGGCAATCCCAATATGGGGATGAGGAATGATAAAGATAAGAAACTTGATTTGTCTCTCCATTTATGAAGAAAAATGTGGTACGAGAATGGCCTTTGAGGGAGAAGAGGGGGAGTGTTGTTAGAAATTACACGTCTTCAAAATAAACGATCTCCAGTGGCCTAATGGGCTGAATTAACTTTTGTAACAGCAGCAGCTTGAGAATTAATTAATTTTTAATCTGGATCAACTTTAGATAGAAGTGGATGGAAATTCGACTTTTAGTTATGAAATAAAGGTGATTGTACAGTAGTTAATTTTCAATAATCATTATCATTTGTTTCTTCATATGGTGGCAATTAAGGAAGGATTTTGACCTTGAGACATTTTTCTCCTGTTTACATAAATAAGTAACACTAGACCCTTAACCCCCCATTTGTTTACCATGTTTATTAATGCAGATTTTTTTTTCTTTAAATTGTGTCATTCTACCACCCCCGCGCCACCCCCCCCCCCCGCGGGGCGGTTATTAATTTATATAATTTTTTAAATACGAAAAATGTCCTTAAACTTCAAATACTATTGACAAATAACTTATAAAAAAAAAAAAATTAAGTTTAAGCATTTTGGGGGAAAAAAAGAGAGAGAATATTCAGCATTTTATTTTGATTTATAGTCTAGGTATAGATGCATGAATCCTTTATCATTTTATTTTTTAATTGAAAAGGATAAATTTATGATGCCTAAAATTTAGAAGAAAAAAGATGTCTTTGGTTGATTTTTTTTTTAATAGAAATAAACTTCTGTAATTTCTTTGTTTATTTATTATTATTATTATTATTATTATTTGGCTGCCTATTTTTGGCGTATATGATATGTTCATAATATTTAGTAAAAGGAGCTATTTTGATATTTAATACTTACTATAATTTATTTATAATTAAAAAATCATATGAAAAGGGTTTCATTTCAATATGTATGGAGTGGGAATAATCACTTCTTTTTTCTTTTTTTTATTGAAAAAAAAAAAAAAAACTAAGCCGTATGGAAAAATCATTTTCAAATAAAATGAAAATGAATTTAGGCCGGCATGGTAAGGGCTGATGAATTCCATGGGCTTGGCTTCAAAGGCTATCTACTTTCACGGGCTTAGCTTAAAAGGCCGTACATTTTGAGCCCATATCAGGAATCCAACAGTTCTGCATGTTTATTGTCTTAATTAAGGTGGCTTATTCGGATATTTTAGATCCGTAATCTACATCCACAATTATATATAAAAATACGATTTTTTTATTTTTATTTTTTTCAAGACCAATAAAATTCTTTGAGAAATATTGATAGACTGTTATCTTTTGACTTAATACTTGCATTATAGTTTATGAAAATATTAATATGCAATCTTATTACATCTCTAAGATAATACTAGTCGGTTGCCTACATTAAGTTACGAATTTAGTAGAAAAAAATTATTTTAAAATTTAAAATTTTTTAATTATAGTTTTTTACATAATTAATTTTTTAATGTTTTTTTTCTAAATTTTCAACTTAAAAAAAAATAAATCAATTATTTTATGTATTGATTTTAAAATTAAAAATTATAATAATTTTAGCTAAAATATTAATCAAGAATTAAAAAAATTTAAAAATATAATATATTTTTTTATAAATAAATTGGTATATTATATATCATGAATTTTAAATGATAGTTTCATATATGCAAATATATAATTATTTTATTCCAAAAGGTTAAAATTGTATTTTATATAATTTATCTTAATTCACTAGATATGGTCAAGACTTATAAAAAAACTATTGAATTGTTGATTTTATTAAAAATTAACTATACTTCTTCCAACATAATACAAATTATTTACTATGAATATTTTTTTTTAACATTATAGAACCAATTTATTTGAAATAAAATAATTAAAATAATTTTTTGAAGGAACCAACTAATTATTCAAATACTATTTTTATGCTAATTTTATTGATTATTTTGTAAATAAATATATATAGATCAAATGCATATAATTGAAAAAAAAATTTCTCACCAACATTAAATAAGAATAAAATTTTATTTTTTCATTGGCTAATTTTATGCAAGGCTATACATTAATTGTAACTTTATTTTTTTGACTTTATTTTTTTTTTTTTGATACATTCTTATAAAAAATATATATATAATTTTAAAGTATTTGTTTTTGAATTCTTAATTAATATTTTATGTTTAAATTATTACAATTTTTTATTTAATAATCCCTAAATAATTAAGAATAAATCATTTTTTAAGCATAAATTTTATGAAAAATAAACAAAAAATAGTAATAAATAAATAAAAAAATTATGAAATTTTGAAATGATTTTTTCTATCCACCCATTGAGTTGCGCGAATAATTTTAAAAATTAATCTTCTCATCGGCATTAAATAAATTTTTTTTTCATTTGTTATTTTTTTGTAAAAGTTTATCCATTAATTATAACTTTATTTTTTGAAATAAAATATTAATCATGTTTTAAATTTTTATTCTAAAATTCAAACATAGAGAAAAAAAATTATATTTATCGATAAATAAAATTTCATATAAAAATATTAATTTGATGAGAATTTTCATAAAAAAATAATAAAGTCAAAAAATGAAATTTAAATAATAAGAGTAATATAAGCTGAAGTATATGTTAATTTTAAAATATAAAAAAGATATATTATATAATCGTCAATTTGTGTGAAAAGAAATTGATTTTTCAAAATTTTAACTCTCAATTAAATAAAAAAAAGAACACAAATTGATGGAAAAAAGCAAAGAAAAAATTAATTTTTAAAAATGTTAACACCCAATTAAATAAAAAAGAACATAAATTGATGGAACAAAGCAAAGGAAAAAACCAAAGGAAAAAAAGAAGAAGAAAAGGCATGTGTAGTGCATCAAATTAGGGGATTAAATTTTTTATTTTAAAATTTTAAGGACCAAAATGAAACAAATTAAAAATTACCAAAAAAAAAAAAAAAACCTAAGCTATAGTAACGAATAGTGATTTGTGAGAGGGTGAACAATGATTTATACTATTTAAAAACCCCGAGTTGTTTAAGTTGTATAGTAAAAAAATATTAATTGGATGAGAATTTTCATAAAAAAATGATAAATTCAAAGAATGAAATTTAAATAATAAGAGTAATATAAGCTGAAGTATATATTATGTTTAAAATATAAAAATATATATTATATAATCGTCGGTTTGTGTGACAAAAAGTTATGATTGATTTTGTAAAATTTTAACAACCAATTAAATAAATAAAAAAGCATAAATTGATGGAAAAAAGCGAAGGAAATATTGATTTTTCAAAATTTTAACTCCCCAATTAAATATAAAAAAACATAAATTGATGGGAAAAAAAAACCAAAGAAAAAAGAAAAGAAAAGGCATGTGTAGTGCATCAATTAGGGGATTAAAATTTTTATTTTAAAATTTTAGGAACCAAAATAAAACTACTTGAAAATTACAAAAAAAAAAAAAACAACAACAAAACTAAGCTTCAATAATGAATAGTGATTTCGAGGGGGTGAATAATGATTTACGCTGTTCAAAAATCCCAATTATTTAGTTGTATAGTAAATACTCAAATATCAATTCGTGATAAATATTTTTATTTATTTATTTTTAATTATATAACTCCTTAAAACCATAAATAGCACAAAACATACTTCTTAAATAATCCAAAACCAATATAGTACCTTATTGGAATTTTATTTTAATTATCAAAACTTCAAAACTATTTTAAAAACAACAACAAAAATTTAAATTGAAATCTAAAAATAATATAATAGATTTTAAAATTCATATGTGTACACCCACAAAAGATTCTTGGTTATTGTCTTGAAACCTTTAACTTTTATGAATGAAAGGACTCAAGGAATTTTTATTCTTAGTTTAGACAAACTTTGTCATCAAAAGAAAATCCTTTAAGCAAGAAAAATCATTAAAAAAAAAAAAGAAAATTATCCATGCATGTTAAATTAATTTCTATTAAATTTCATTATAATTTAAATAAAAATATTTTAAAATAAAACAAATTAACGAATATTATTATGTTAATGCATAATATTGTCATACTAAAAACTAGTAGAAAATAAAACTTGCATCATATACCTGGTTTATTTATAGGATACAAATAGATTTTATTCAAAAGATTTCTTTGAATAAAAGAGTTTAAAAATATTATAAATCAATAATAATTATAGTAGAAGAACACACTCGCAATTTTTTAATATTAAAATATAAATATTAGATTTTGTTATTCTATAATTTATCAAGTTTTATTTTATCCGAAGTTTTCTCAAAGGTTTTTAATTATAGGTATTCACTAATTGTTAGTAATCAAAATAAACTTTTTTTAAAAAAAAACTATGATATTACTTTGTTATTATATTATATTTATTTTCGTTTTACAATCAAACTAAATTTATTAAATTAAAAATTTTAATACTTTTTAAGTACTTTAAAAAATCAAATACCTTTTCTTCCTCATGCATCTCTTTCATTCGTTTCACGACTCTACAAGTGCATGTAGGTATAGTTTGAAGGTTTTGCAACTCACTCCACACATTTTGTAGGTTACAATAGTACATGGAGACAATGGATCATTCATGCTTGCAATAGAGTAATAGTGCATTTTAACACATATACTCTTTGAGTAATACCTTGAGTAAACCTCCTTTTAAAGTCGCTCCATATCTCTCTAGCGTTGTTGGCATAGATCGCATCGATTTTCAATTCTTTAGAAATAGAATTGATCATCTATAATTTAATTATGATGTTACACTATACCCAAGAACATAAATCTCCATAATTAACTTCATGCTTGGGTATCGATTCATCTACAAACCCTACCTTTTTCTTGGGTTGGAGAGTATTGAAAAGGTTAGTCCTTTATGTGAAATAATTCTCTCCATCTTTGCTTAGGAGTTGTGTAAAGAAAATTAGACCTAGATGATTCGAGGGATGCAAATAGTATGGTGATTTGGTATCAATTGCGACACCAAACCATATTTATTACTACTTGAAAAATTAGTTGCCAAAACCAAAAAAAGAAA